CCCCCCCGGTTCGATGACGTAGCCGCGCCACGGCGCCCGCGCACCGGGCCGCACCGAGCCCGGCCCGACCCGAGGGGTGGTGGTGGTGGTCGTCGAGGTGGTGGTGGAGGCTCAGTGCTGCTGTGACGGAAAACGCGTCACTCACACGGCGCCGGCGTGGCGCGGAGGGGAGTGGAGCGGCGGCGACCGGGAGGCGCGGCCGCGACTCCAGCGGACTCCAGCGGTGCGGAGGAGAGGTGGGGGAGGACGCCGAGGACGCAGGCTCCCCAAACCTGGATTCTCTTCTCTGTGCTTTTGTACACTCTTGAAGTAGATTTTTGTACTTGCTGCACAGTCCTCTTCATGGTGACCGTTTCTTCGGGCGGTCCTTTCTCCTCTTTCCTTGTCAAACGGCCTCCGATTAGTCAACTAGATATTAGTCACGACCACGCCGCAGGACTCTCCGTTCGTTATCAGGACCTTCGGCTGCCCCACGTGGTCAGCTGGTGGCCGGTGGGTGAACGAAACGCCCGGGGTCCGTGCGGACGTCGTGCCTGTGTGAGTGTGTGTATGCAGCAGCAGCACGCGCCGTGGTTGCAAAAGCGGTCGCGAAAACCAGTCAATGGTCGCGTCTAGGCGGAGTGAAACGTGCCGTCGCGGGTCTGTCACCCATGGTCTGCGAGCGTCGCGTGGCCGGCCGCATGCTGCCAGGTCTCTCTTCGAAATCCGAAATTTTGATCCAAATGTGCCATATTGTCTCCTGTATTGTCTTCACAAAATCGCATTTCCACTATTTTGGGCCAGTTCCACACCCCCCGGCCCCTCTCCAAACAGACTCAGCCGTCGTGCCCTATCGCAGGAGGGAAGACCCTCGCCTGCCCATGTGGATCATTCCATGCGATGGCGTCGACCGTCGAGGGTGGAAAGGCCGTGGAGGCGAGGCACCCAGGGGGAGCGGAAAGGAGCCCGGGGGGAATGGGGGCACACGGACGGGCTTCTCGAGGGCGGGGATGAGAGGGACATTCCCAAACGGCAGTTTCACCCCAGAGGAGTACTGCCCCCAAAGTCGGAGGGATGCGGGTAGAATTCCGTTCACACAGCGGTGGCGTGGCGTAGCGTTTCAGGTAGAGAGAATAAAAATTGTGTGTGTGTGTGTGTGTGTGTGTCGCACAGCAGCTGATACGGCTGGCGTGCGGGGCCGTGCGGGGCCCCCAGCCCAGTGCGTGGCGGCGGTGGAGGTGTGTCCCCGGCCAGCCAATCCCGACGCTCGGCTCGGCTCGGGCCTAGGTCACCTGGGGCCCCCTCCACCACGGAGCAGCCGTTACCTTTCTGCCGCCGTCTCGTCATTCCCCGGCGCGGCGTGGCGCGGCGCGGCGCGGCGCGGGTATTCAGAGGAACGCGACGACGCAGTAAACACTTGTTTCGAGGGCCGCGCCGGGCATTGCCGGTCAGACAGGAGCGTGACAGGACAGGCAGGCAGGGGTGCAAGCGAAAATAGGCCAGGCTATCGAGGTTAATAAATAGAAATGTTTACGTCGTCCGTCGTCCTCCTCAGGACGCAGAACGGGGACGGCGATCGACAGCAAAGTACTCTATACAACAACGCTGTCCTTCGCGGAGAACGACGGTGGAGCGATAAACACGGTGGTATGGGTTCGAAGGGTCCAGTCCGGCCGCTCTGCAAGCAGGGAATTCCATTTTGTGTTCCACTCCACGAGGTCCCGGCTGGTCGGCTGACCTGGTCTCGTGACTCCAGCCACTCCAGCCTGGAGCTCGGCCGGCCGGTCACGTGAGCGATAAGCTTTACATGAAAGAAGGCTCAGCTTCAGGCCCCTGCTGCTGAGGTAGTCGGGCGTGTCGCCGGGGAGGGCCCGGCTCGGAGCGCCTCTGCGACAAGACACGTGTGAGATGCACGTGGAGGGAGCGCCCCGCAGTATACCAACTGCTCCCTACACCGTTAAAATAAAAGCGCAGGATTGTAAGTAAGAAGCGTCCGAGTTACCGTGCCTGCCATTACCCTGAGCGAGTAGTATCGGCTCAAAAGAGGCGCGCGTTATACTCTGCAGTAAATCTTATTTTACTTTTTTTTTAGTGCGACAGGACAATGAACACGTCCCCTTATTACCGGGCGACCGGTTCTAAGCAGCGCTTACGCACGAGCGAGTGCACGCCAGAACGGATCTGGACTCGGGAAAAAATGGATGATCGAGGCAACTATATAAGGATAATACTCAAAGCCAAAAATACACGAAGCTGGTTGGTTTTACGTCGCCAGGGAAGGGAAGGGTGGAGCCAGCCAGCCCAACCTTCAGGCTGCAATGCAAGGTCGGCCGGCTCCTTCGCGCGCCCGGACGAGACGGGACGGGGCACCTCAT